ATGTTTTAGCTTTGATTTACTTTTGTGACTTCCCTATCTGGGTTGATATCTGGTTGCTCTGTCCTGTGTTCTAGTCTTGGGTTGTTATCTGATGTTACTGATTTTCTAACCGGAGGACTCCCTGTAGTATTTCTTGTAATTTTGGTTGGGTTTTTGCGAATTCCCTAAACTTCTGTTTATCTGGAAATACCCTAATTTTGCCATCATATTTGAGAGACAGTTTTGCTGGATATATAATTCTTGGCTGGCAGTTTTTTCCCTTCAAGGCTTGATACATACCGTCCCATTGTCTTCTTGCCTGCCTGGTTTCTGCTGAGTAGTCCAGGCTTATTCTTATTGACTCTCCTTTGTAGATGACTTTTCATTCATCCCTAGCCGCTCTTAAAATTCTCACTTTGTCTTTGGTTTTGGCAAGTTTGATTATAATATGTCTTGGTGATTTTCTTTTGAGATCTACCTTATGTGGGGTTCAGTGAGCATCTTGTATAGATATCTTGTCATCTTTCACGATATCAGGGAAGTTTTCTGCCAACAAATCTTCAGCAGTTCTCTCTGTATTTTCTGTTATCCCGCCACTGTTCTGATACTCCAGTCACTGGAAGGTTTTTCCTCTTGTTAGAGTCCCTCATAATTCTTAATGGTTTCTTCATTTTTTAAAATCCTTCTGTCTGATTTTTCCTCAAATAAGTTAGTGACAAGTGCTTTATCTTCAGTCTCACTAATTCTGACTTCCATTGCCTCAGTTCTGCTTCTATGACTTTCTGTGAAATTCTTGAAATTTTAATGGTAATCTTCTGAGTTTCTGATTGCTGTCTCTCTGTGGATTCTTGCAGCCTGTTAAATTTATCATTTTGCTCTTCTCTAATCTTTTTAATTTCCTCTGTTGCGTGTTCTGCATTTTGCTTAATTTCTTGAAGAATTCTGTATATTAATCTTTTGTATTCTGCCTCTGATAATTGCAAGAAATTTTTCTCCTCTGGAAAATTTCTAGATTCTTTACTTTGGGAGCTTGCTGAAGCTGTCATGGATTGCCTCTTTATGTGATTTGATATTGACTGTTGTCTCTGAGCCATTAATAAGTTATTATGTTTATTTTATGTTTGCTTATTGTGTCCTAGCTTCTTGTTTTGCTTTGATATACCCAAATAGGCTGCTCGTATAAGCAAGTTTGATTATTGGCACCTTTCCAGCTCTAATGACCTATCACCAGGTGGTTAGATCTGTTACTAAGTATCTCAGCTCAGGAGTCCACCCACTCCTTCTGTATGGATTCAGCTCAGGTGCCCAGGTAGATAGCCACCAAGTGTGTGGTATAGGTGCTCACTTACAGTCGTAGACATGCATGGGTGATTGGTGTAGGCACAGGCATCTGGCTGCAGCAGGGGGACACACTCTGAGCAAGGCAGAGGGCTGACGGCCACCCCTAAGTGTCCAGGAGGAAGGCGTGACCTTGTTCCCTAGAGCACGTAGGTGGGTGGGTTTTGCCGCCAGACTATGAGCACCTAATGCTGTTGGCTGTAAGGACTGAGGGGCATCTCATATTCATGGGCCCCTATTGCAGGTGGCTAGGTGGCGTGGGTGGAGCCACCAGTCCTCGGGCCCCTGATGTGGGTAGGTGAAGCCCCCTTAATGGGCAGAGCAGTGTCAAATGTCAAGAACCTGCCACTTCACAGGTGAAACAGTTGAAGCTAGAGTTCCAGTATATACTGTGTTGTACTGCAGTAACGAGCGCCTACGCTGTTGAGATGAGCCGACACAAGTCTATGTAGGGGTAAGGCACTCAAAGTCTGTGGATCCCTTATGCCTGTGCCTAGGCAAAGGAGCTGTGCCTACTGTGGGTTCCTGGCTTAGGGGAGCCAGCAGTTTATTTTTTCCCGTTTGTTAATTTGTTCACTCTCCAAGGCAGGGAAAGTGGCTCCGGGTGTGTGACAGATCCTACTTCTGGCCCAGGGGACTCGGCAATTGCTGAAGCCATGTTGGGACCCAGTGCAGAACAGGGAGCGGGGAGGTAAATGGGAGAGAGGTTTTTCCGTAACGGGGGTGTTTTTAATCCGCACAGTAAGCCATATGCAAGTACTTATCTTTCGGCAACAAGGGCTGCTTCTCAGTGATTCTGGTTGGCCGCGTAGACTCTCAGTGGCTAGGTCTCTCCCGGTGCAGAAAACGCACCTCCGAAGCTTGCTTGCCTGCCTCCCCCAAGCTGATCAGGCCTGAAGGGCTCAGGCTCTTGACACATCAGGTCTGGCAACTCCTTGCTGCTGTCAAACCGTTTCTCCTTCCCCCTGCCACTCAGTCCAGTTCCTCAACTCTGCCTTTGATGTTCAGGGCTCCCAAATTGCCATATATAATCGAATCACTTGTTTTTTCGGGCCTTTGTTGTAAGAGGGTCCACCGGAAGCATCTGACTACTCTGCCATCTTGGCCCCGCCTCCCTCCATCTCTTTATCTGTAAAGTGGAGATAATAATTGGGTCTGCCTTGTAGGCTGTTTTGAAGGTTATGTGAATTAAAATACACTACTTAAAACAGCATCTGGCACTGAGTTTCTGTTAAGGACGATGGAAAAATTTAGCAATGGGTAGTATTGATAATTGGACAACATGATGAATGTAAATGTAATTAATGGCACTGAATTGTACATGTAAAAATGCTAAAATGACAAGTGCTTTTTGTTTTATATATATGCACCACAATTATAACAACAACAAAAAGATACCAGTGCCTGGCACATACAGTAAGTAATAATGTTAGCAATAATAATAAATAATATTAATTTTTGTCCTTATTATTAAGCTTTGGTTTTAGAAGGCTGATGTAGGTCTTCTAATTCTTTTTAAAAATCAGCAGTTCTCCCTGCTTAGGCTTTTTTGTTTTTAAAGTAATTTTCATCAGCATCAGTTATGGATGCTTTCCCACTTGACCTTGATTTGGCATAATGCAAAAGAAGGATTTAGGATATACTGATATTTCATGCCTTTAGGAGATGTCTTAAAATCAAGATTTACCTGCATGGTGCTTACTAATTCTAAGTAAACTCAGAGAAAGTTCATTAATCTTTTCTAATACGAAGTTTCTCTAATACATATCAGAAGCAAACAAGTAGAAAAATACCTAACTAAATGTTTAAACTTCAATTTGACCACGTATCTCTTGCTGCCTAAAAGGTAGTATTACCAGGTTCACATCTTCTGAATAAACTTTGATTTGAGCTATTTAATAATTTCATGTTTCTTTGTGTATGGCTGATGATTTTATACTTGTTCAGCCAGTACATAACCCTAAACATCAAATGTTGAAATTTTCCTTTAATGTGTGTGCTTTCTGGAATTGTTGGTTTAATATTAAGAAAATATAAAGTTTTTTGTTTGTTTTCCTGTATTTAGAAACCTTTACAGAGGTTAGTAAAAATATAAAGGTCCAAATGGCCTTCTACCATCTTTTCTACTGAAGAGATTTTGTGGAACCATTTCTTTTAGAATAAAAGCCCAATCAGTTTTTGCACTCAGTAAACTCTGTATGTTAAATTATAAACCCTTCCTTTATGAGAAAAATTTGCTTAAATTCTCCTACCTTATATGGTTAGGTTTTTGACATGAGGTAATTATGTGTATGAACTTCTCATGGTACTTGTAAAACCCCAAGTTCCTATCTTATTATTAGATAGATACATTCAACTTTTCTCAGGAAAAACAAAGCAGTTGCTACATTTGGGAAAAACAACACCCATAATCTAAAAAAAAATCCACATGCACAAAAACCTATTTTCCTTTTTCACTTCCATGATCCATCATATTTGAATTTATAAAACAGACCAATTAGTTTTACAAAAGAATTCCCCAGAAGAACAGATTCCTTGATTGCTTTTAAAATAAATTTAAGATCATAATTTGATCTATATTCAGTTTTCTGTGAAACTGTTTATTGAGTAATATTACTTCACCAGTACTTTCTGATAAATTGTTTATTTTGGAAGTATTACTCTACATAGACATTATCTAGCTGTGCCTAAAAGAAAGCAACCTTTAGTTAACCTGTATTTAATCTTCATAGGATACATTTTTTAGTAAATTCTGATTGTGTTGTATATTATAAATTGTTTAAAACATTAAATTAATGTGCATCTTGATTGACTTTTAAGATGATAGAATGTATTACCCCTTATATATGTTAAAAATCAGTAAAGTCTGTTGATCTTTAAAGTAGATTCGAGTAAGTGTTGAAAAAATAAATGTGTCCTTGTCACGCTTTCTGTAATCACTGTTCATTTTTCAGGACAGTATGTTCAAGCGTTTCGCACCCATCCCCATGAACCTCTCTATAGCCTCTGTATAGGCCTAACCTTTATTCACATGGCATCTCAGAAGTATGTATTAAGGAGACATGCTCTTATTGTGCAGGTAATTAATTTGGATTTCTCACTATTTGATTTTATGTGCCTTAAAAATGAACATACTTAATGCTCTTTTTATCCTGTTCGAATACCTGCTTGGTACATGTGTCAGTGGTCTCGAAGAGCCATCCCTATGTTCAGTACTCTCGAGACTGAGCATATAGTTGTACTCATGGCTAAGATTTATTACAGGGTTGTAGTGAGGATGCACAGCCAGTTCATAAGGAAAAAGACACAGGCAGAGTCTGGAGGAATCCGTGTGCAGGCTTCCTTATACTCCAGAGCCCCTGAGGCCTCCAGCCACCCAAAGATGATTCATTTATTTTAAGTTGGGTTTTTTAAAGTATAATAATAATGCATATATACATACAGTTATGTATGATGAGTGTGACTGCTTGCTCTTTTTAAATTTTCTTCTTGGTTCTTATAATAATTTGAAATTACATTTTTGTTTTGTTTACTTTTTTTTATAGCTTGACTCCCCTGATCCTTGAGATCAGAGCTGTTCTCTCTCTTGTTCACTACTGTATCTGCAACACAGAATAAATAAGATTTGGTACTTAGTAAATATTTGTTGAATGATGAATGAACACTGTGACTTAGAAGACTTGATCTTTTCTAATCTAAGACATGAAAACTGATACATCATTATTGTTTAAATTAATATTTCTTTTGTAAATGATTTTGAGCATCATTTCATGTTTTGAGGCCTTTTGTATTTTTTATATTATTTGTAATGTATATTAGGCCTGTTTATGTACTTTTTTTAGATTTTTCAATTTTTGTCTTAATGATTTCTAAGAAGTCTTTGTAAAATAAGGATATTAAAACCTAGTCACAGAATTATAAATATTTTCTTCCTAGATTGACATTGATCGTTTGACTTGTGTTTGTGTGTCTTGTTTTTGATTTTGCTTTGTAGAAGTTTTAACTGTTTATATATGGTCAAATTTCTTATAATTTTCTTGATTACCTCTAGATTTTACATCATATTTATAAAGATCTTCCTAACTTCAAGAATTTAAAATAATACTCGCATGTTTTCTTCCTTTTCTCTTACGATGTCATTTTTATATTTTGGATGTGTCTGGGATATAGTGTGTTACAATAATATATAGAAACTTTTTAAAAACAATTAAGAAAAGGAAGAAAATGATGGCTTGAATGGAGTAGCACGATCTAGTAAGGGTTTTTTGTTTTTTTAAGTAAAATCGTTTTAAAAAGTGTAAATTAAAATAGTTGTTGAAACTGAGTGATATAGGGGTTCATTATAGCATTTTATCTAATTTTGTATATTTGGAAATTTCCATAATAACAAGTAAAAAACAAGAACATAAAAAAAAAAGTCAAACTTCTGAATTTTTCTTTTTCTTAAGTATTTAATTATAGTATTTTGTCTACCTCTCCTTCCAAGCTTCTTTTTTTCCTTAGCAGATACTTTTTGCTGTATTGAGTAATATAGGATTGTTTATAAACTAAACAAGTACACATTGAGTACCCACTGTATTCCAGGAACTGAGGATGTAGCAGTGAGTACCCAGGCAGACATTCCTGCCCTGATGAAATTTATATTGTGGTAAAAATTGATAGAAAAATTTTACAGATTAACTCATTATAGAATAGTTAAAATATGTAATTTTTGTGCCTGGTAGGACAAGAATTATGTACTTCAAAGTAATTTGGAAGCAAAATTTCCATTTTCTTTTTTTTAAGTTAAGTGGCAGGTTTCAGATGGGTGGGGAAAGAGGTGAAACAAGAGGTGATGAGTGTGTGGGAGTTTACTGTATTAATCTCTCTGCTTTTGTGTATGGTTAACATTTTCTATAATAAAAAAGTTTCTTAAAAGTTGGTTTTATTGTAAATGGCAAGATTTCTGAAATTACTTTCTTGTTTCTTCACACTTAAGGACTAAAATTAGTCTTCATTTTTTGCACTAAAAAAAAAACTAGTTCAAATGTTTTACTATCTTTCTACCTGTTTATCGTACTGTAAGAGTAAAATCTTTCATGGTTCCTTACCTCTGCCTTTATTTAATATTATATAGACAGTGCATAATGTGGTTCCTTTAGGGATTAATTTGATGAAAATGCTTGAAATGTAACATGGTTAATGTAATGGTTATTGTGGTTAATGTAAAAAGAACCCTTTTCTTTCTTTTCCATTTTTAGTTATTTTTTTGTTTCTCTTTTTTTGTAGTTTTTATATTTGATGATTCATAATACCTGAGAAATAAAGTGGCTGCTAACTTTACCTAGTTTTTTGATCACTAAATGTCATCTGATTAGTTTTACAGTGGTCAGAGAGATTCCTCTCCTAAATTTCTTAGAATGCAGCAGGTAACTGCCGCTATTGTATCAGAAGACCTACAGTTTGAGTTACAACAAGTCTTCTGGGATTACTTTTTCCTTCTTTCTCAGATTTTTCTCTTTAAATTTGTCCTGTTTTTCATCTTTAAATATGATTTAATATTTCTCTGAGATTAACAACTTAGTTGTCTGCTATTACTTGACAGTCATGTGTTCCAGCAGAGTGCAGGTCATATTCCCCTATATAAATGAGTTCTTTAGTTTGTAGGAAGTGTGATTTCTTTATTGAACATTATTTTTTTTTTTTTTTTAATATTTTATTGT